TGGCAAGGGTTAATGTGTGCACTGCAGAGGCGAAGAACAGCCGAGTGCATTAGCACGCTTATACCACAGTTACAACACATTTAGTTTACACATTTGTACTTGAAGACATTATTTTCATGTTTGCGAACATATTTACCAGTAGACTCCGCTAAGAATTTTTAGTTCCAGGAATGTTTGCTAAACATTACGATTAAGATTTAGAAACGTTTAAAGTGTCCAGTTTTTCTGATGTTCCAAGAAGTACTACAACTACTACTAAAACATGGAAATAATGTTCCATTAGCATTACAGTAAGAACATTCTCTGCCGACTTTCAGATGACTTTCTGATAACGATGGATAAAGTTCAGGGAATATTCCCTGTTAGCTGGGTGTCAAAATGGGGTTTCTCCATTTGTTTTCTGGACTTACTCTCCATAATAGGATAAGATGTTTGGAGATCTTTGAATTGAGTGGAACCAACTGAGATGGTTCACGGATTTCATAAGGATGTGACCTGGATGGCACCCCTGGAAAAGACCCAGAGCATGCTGGAGGGTTTTTTACCCTCCTACTGGCTAAGGATCTTCCAAAATGAGCTGGAGTCAGTGGGCATGGAAAACGGGATCTAGTCTGACCTGCCCTGAACATTGCTACCACAACCCTCACCAGGAATAGCAGGAAAATGACACAGATTGAAATCTCGGTGTGAATTTTTTTTCTGTTGTGTCTCTAACAAATTTGAGAATACAAATATGAAAAGTATGAAAGTGTGTACAGAAATACAGCCCCACAAATAAAAATTCCTAAAAGACATAAACTCAAACCTCAACCTAGGTATTCTTTTGTTTTGTTGATAAGAATCTTTAATATAAAAAATATCAAAAGTAGCTCATGCAGGAAATGAACAAAGAAACAAACAGCAATTTGTTATGAACAATAAATAGAGCCCAAAAAACATTTAGAAATTTAACATGACTGCAGATTCATCAGTATACAAATTTTTTTTTTTTAACATGCATCATATACAACACCGTTTCCAAAAAACTTGGGAAGCTGTCTAAAATGTTAATTGGAACAGAGTGCAATGATTTACAAATCATATAAATCCATATTTATTTGAAAATAGAACACAGAAAACATATCAAATGTTGAAACTGAGAAATTTTATTGTTTTATATATGCTCAATTTGAATTTGAGGCCAGCAACAGGTCTCAAAAAAGTTGGGATGGGCAACAAAATACTGGAAAGGTTAATTGGCAACAGGTCAGTAAGATGATGAGGGTGTAACGGTACACAAAAATCACGGTTCGGTACGTTTTCGGTACAGCGAGGGTAAAAGAAAAAAATCATCAATCGCTTCTTTTTTTCTTAATTAAACAGTGGTTTACTGAACATGGTTTACTTTCTTAAAGTCTCTGTCAATACTGCCTCAAACTACTTAAAAGTAAATCAAAATAAATATTCTCTGATAAATAAATATCCATTAAGGTGCCCATTTAGAAAATTAACTTTACGTGATTGGTACTGTATTCGCATTAGCAGCTATCAGCTTCCTATTAGAACTGTGCAACACAAATATTGTCTCAAAACATACAAAGCATAACAGAATAAATATCCATTATGGTGTAGCATTTAAAAAAATAAACCCCATACTATACTTGTATTCACATGAACAGCTTCCAGCTCGTATTAGGATGTACGTGCGCATGCGGAGTTATGTGGCTTCACCCACCCCTTTTTGAATGTCGCTCGGGGGAAACGCACAAACATGCAAATGTTCCACATTTGCTGCATTTGTTCAGTACATATGCGAACCGAAATGAAAGACCCGTACGTGTACTGTTACACTCCTAGTGAAAGACTGCATGGGTAAATGGTGCAACAGTTTATTAAATAATATTAATAATAATTATTAAATAATTATTTATAAATAATGTTCCTCAACATAATATTGCAGAGAATTTGGGAATTTCATCATCTATAGTACCTAATGTCATTAAAAGAGTCAGAGAATACAGAGAAATTTCTGTATGTATGGGACATGTCGTAAAACCAATATTGGAGAGCTGTGATCTTCGAGTCTTCAGGTGGCACTGCATTACAAACTGACACGATTCTATAGTGAAAATCACTGCATGGGCTCAGGAACACTTCCGAAAACCATCGTCTGTGATCACAGTTCGTTGCTGAATCCACAAATGCAGGATAAAACACTACCATGTAACACAGAAACCATATTTAAACATGTTCTAGAAACACCGCTGACTTCAATAGGCCTGAGCTCATTTAAGGTGGACTGAGGCAAAATGGAAATCTGTCCTGTGGTCTGAGGAATCAAAATTTCAAATTCTTTTTGTAAATCATGGATGCTGCATCCTCTGGACTAAAGAGGAGAGAGACCATCTGGCTTTTTATCAGGGGTCAGTTCAAAAGCCAGCATCTGTGATGGTATGGGGGTGCATTAGTACCCATGGCTTGGGTAGCCTGCACATCTGGGAAGGCACCATTAATGCTGAATGATATATACATGTTTTGGAGCAACATATTGTCCACATTGCCATCCAGACAATGTCTTTTTCAGAGAAGGCCTTGTATATTTCAGCAAGACAGTGCCAAACCGCATTCTGCACATATTACACTACTACACCAGCATGGGCCCATAGTAGAAGAGTCCATGTACTAGACTGGCCTGCCTGCAGCACTACTACTCAAAGAACTTGTGATGTAACACAATGGTAAACATGCCCCTGTCCCAACTTTTTTTAAACATATTGCTGGCATCAAATTCAAGTTGAGCATATTTGTCAGAAAACAATGGAATTTCTTAGTTTCAACATTTGATATGTTGTTTTTGTTTTGTTTATATGATTTGTAAAGCATTGCATTCTGTTTTTATTTACATTTTATACAGCATCCCAACTTTTTTGGAAACAGGGTTGTGGAAACGTAATTGACTAGTGCTACAATGTCCTGAGGAGAACTTCACCCCGCTACAGCACTAGCTCTCTGAACTCAAATGAGTTCATTGTCTGTCATGACAGTTATAACATTGGAACCTTCCCAAGGTTTTTTAGATTTAGATTTACCCAGGGGAAATCACAATGGTCTGCTCTGTATCTAGCACTGTTTGAGGTCAGGCCCATGTGGAGAAGGCAGGAAACGTATGGCAGAGCATGAATGAAAGTGCGGGGAGGAGGGGGATGCAGACTCAGGAGCAAAAAGCCCACCCTCTGCGATCTTGCCCTACAGGTAGGTATGCAGTGGAATCCCATCACCATGGAAGCAACAGGCATTGTCTCTCTGTAACGTGGCTCTATGTAGGAGGTTTATCACTCCTGCACGCAGCTCTACTATGGCTATCTAATTATTTCCTATGGATTCCAAAGATGCCAGCATGCTTTAGAAATCACATACATCTTACCCAGCGTTATTTCTGTATGCCTCCCTGCTTTCTGCAGACCATAAGCGAAAAGTCACCCCAGCCAGTTGGGTTATTACTTGTTCCCTCTCGTAAGTTATTGTCAAGTGCTGGGCCTTTCAAAAGCAATCATCCGAGCAAGAACCATACCGACAGATGACCTTCCACAGGCAAGCTTTCCACTGACAGGCAGTTCAAACCGGTCAGGGAGCCACGGGACTCAGAGCCGCAAGGGCAGCCTATCAGTCACTTTCATTTCAGTTCAGAAGTTCTCTATGTCGCCCAACTTTAATGTGATACACAGCAGCGTCCACAAGTTTCTGTCCTCTAAAACAATTATGCTAATGCACAACGGGAGCTGTGAATGGGGTTTTTAATTAGGCTGCTTGGAGTTAAAAGCCAGAGGCATTAGTTTTTCTCACTGCATGTCACTCCGCCTGACCTCTCCATCTTGACTTCCCAGAACCCTGGAAGATGGCATCACACTCTGTTTAATGGCTTGTCTCACTTAATCATGCCTCTCTTCCCCATCAAGTGAGGCGATGTCTTCATTCATTAACGTGTTCTGCAGAGCCTCAAATTCCTCCTGGGACAGAATTGCCCTGGTTCTCACACAGACACCAGTGTTGTTGCTGCATCTAAGCTGTGCCCAGGTGGCTCTTTTCTGCTGTTAATGGTTGGATGGTGACTGAAACATGTGGCCCTGAGCAAGTCACGCCACTGATTGCTACATATTATCTCAGACAGAAGAATGTGAGCTTCAGGGTTATCAGAGTGACGATGCTGATTTTAGTTCAGCTAAAGCCAGCCATATGAAACCCCTTCACTCCTAAATTAAAGTGAAAGATAGGTGGGCAGAGAGGGAGTAGAACAGCAAGACAGCACTCTTTGTGTTATTTCATTACTCCTGAGTCGCCACCTTGGTCCTGCTTAATGGTTGACATCTTAGCATTTGCCGAGCTCCCTCAACGGACTCCCATCCTGGTGTACAGTATGTCTTTATTAGCTGCTGCAATGAACCCAGGCCCCTCAGCCACTGAAGAAAAGTGCTCCTCTCAGGAATCTTCATCCATTGTGTTTCCTACAGTGTTTAAGTAATGGACAAATTTCAGGGAAAATGCAGTCTCTTGCCACCATGAGATTTACTCAGCCAGTGCGACGGTGCAGACATGAGCGAGCATTAAAAAGGCCCATAGGCACGGGGAATGGTTAGAGGCCGTTTCATTAGAGCTACATCTCATGCTGCTGTGCTGTAACAGGAACTGTTTCTTGCATGGCCAGTTCTGCTCAATTCTATGAAACTATGAAGCAATCATCATGAGATCTGTGTCGAAATATTCTAACTTTGAATGTTGGACATAAATCTAAATGTGTAATTTGAAGCTTAGTACCTACTTGGTATGACTTCTTGTTAAGTAAAAGTTAGACAGCAAGAGGCTTTTTCACACAGAAAAAAAAACATTTCCCAGCTGTGCTCTTTCCAGCTGTTGTGGACTGAACTGCCTTCTTTTGTACCTGCCCTTATTCTCACTCTGCTTTCTTCTGTTTTCCAATCTGCTCTTTCTGTCATCCCCATGCTGCTGTCTGGTGCTACCTGCAGTAGAGATTAATGTGATCAAGGACCTGCCCTGGCCGCCCCCGGTCGGGCAGCTCAGCAGTGCCCCTCTGCTGGTGGAGGAGGTGGAAGCCCCACTTACACCTGCCCCAGCCCCAAACTCACCTGGACAGGCCACCTGTGACCAGCACCATCCTGGTGGGTGTATCCATAAAGCAGCATGCCTCTCATCCCCTCATTGGCCTCATTGGAAGTCCCCACCCCCTCAAACCCCCAGCCCATCTCATAGATCTTTACATTCCTGTCACACTTCCATCTAACTCATTCATTTCATCTCCAATCCATTGGTGCTATTGGTGTCCGTTAAGCAAAATAATTAATCAGAGCATTATTTCAGGCGATTGTTACCTTTGTAATGTTCTAAAAATGTGAATGCGTATTTACATGTTACAGCATGTTAATGGTTTTGTCTGTCCTAAGATGCACAGCTCTGCATCTGGTTTGCTTGATACAGAAAATGACTTCAGGATGGTTTGGTTCACGATTGTGCTACAGGCTCAATTTATTTTAATTGGTTCAAACTGCTTTCAGTTTGGATAATTGCAAGTGTAGACCTATATTCCCACAGGCTGCACGTGTCATTACTGAACCCTCACAGGCTGCTCCCAGATGCACAGATCTCATGATACTCAGTCTTTTGCTGTTTATGTCTCAGTAGCTGCTGTTGTGCATATTCCAGTATTAAAGTTTCGGAAGCATGGAAGGCATTTGCCATAAGGAAACATTTATGTTTTTATTTTTTGGTGTCTGCTGCTTTTTACCTCCAGCTAATTTCCCATGGAGAAACGTTACATCTAGCACATATCATTTCAGAGCTGAGGGATTTAGTGTTCTGCTGCCTCATTCTGCCCACCCGTGTCTTTATCCCCAAACTAGTGCAGGCTGACAGAGTTGGGAGGAGCATGCAAAAAGGTGACGCCACCTTGAACTCCTGCCATTACATCACCGGGAGTCCAAAGAGATGATTCCCATGATCTCTGCTCCTCTTTGATTCGTCAGATTTCCCTCCCTTTGCATAGCTTCTTCCCACATGTAGTGTGTTCAATGCGGAGGATTTCGCGGAGAGGTCCCTCCCACAGTTTGATCTCCACCCAGGCCTGAGTTGGGTGGTGTCACAGTGGTAGGCCCCAAAACTTCACAGTATGTACTTTAAACCTGCTTTTTATTGTCAAAGGCTGTTTTGATGTTTTGGTTGGGGAAATGTGAACAGAAGTGGTAAACACTGCCCTGAGAAAAGGTTAGTAACAGCTTCTTATCGATCTGCATCTTAAATCATAATTAAAGATCATGCGAGTTATCTGGTATTTTTATGGATGTTACCTGGTTCCCCAATTTAATATGATTATCATATATGAATATTTCTTGCCATGAAAAGAATTACATCTGCATATAAAAAGAATAAATCTTTTGTTTGGGCTCAGTGAAGAGCTTGGTCTTTTGTTTTCTGACTTGAATTAATTGTCAGTGCTTTGGGGGTATGATCTTTTTTTTGTTCTCTCCCCCACCTTCCCAGAATGCATAGCATCACAATTAATGGAAATCCAGATTTCATCTGGAACAATAGATTGGTGCAGCTGGTGGTTGCCTTTGTCTCTGTAGATCCTTTCCAGGGCACATTCATGATTACAGCATGCAAAAGATGGCCTGCCACTGAAATGATTGCAAACTGAGTCTGCCTGCATCAGTCAGAATGACAAGTCTGGTGTCCGGTCCTAAAACTGTAATTAAAATTGTGAGCACACTGAAGGTTGTGAGTCAGGAGTCATATCTAGAGTGATGTGCTGCTGTTGCCTATGGTAATCTAGCATATCGTGTTATTTACTTCACGGAAAATCAATTGGGAGCTTTAGTCTTGCTGATCATTTAAAGCGTCAAACTAGTCGATGCACTGGACATGATGACTCTAGAAGTAGACTTGATGGGTAGATCTGCCATTTATAAATGAAAATGGATTAGCTGGCATAAGTAGTAAAAGTGTTATGGATGCGTGGCCTTTGCAGTTGTCAGCGTTTCTTGCTTTTAATGTAGATTTTGCCCGGAGCCCTTGAGATTCCATACTGTGCTTCTCTGAGATGTCCTCCCTGACCTCTGTTGCCTCTTTGTTTATTTAGTATCTTATGCGAAGCTCTCCATCCGCTCCTGGCACAGTTCCCAACCTCTCAAGAGGAGTGGGGGATGGGAGCAGTGGGACTTGTGACCATCAATCACCTTTTAGCTAATGGGTGAATCTGATACAGGGACCCCATTCAAGCACTTTCATTCACTCTCAAGTGGGGGAATCGGCTCCATGCGTGCCGTACAGCTTCGTTCTGTTTTGTTGGTCTCTTTCCTTCTTTTGACAATCTGCCTGTGACGGTCTTTTGTACCTTAGTGATTGACACATGTCTGTCTCCTGGAGAATGGTGGGAGGGATGGTCTGGACACTTTTTTTGGCATTTAGATTGGAATATAAAATAGCTGCCAGGGCTTTTATTGCAGGTGAGAGACCTACCACTGATAATAATGTTCTCCTGGACACCTCATGAATGTCCTTCCTCCAGAATAACCTCTTTATTTTTGATGAGTGATGTGTACTCCCTTTGAAAGGCCACATTCAGAAAAGACTGAATCCCTGTGAATGCCACAGGGGACCCAGCAGAGGTAGCGCAAATATTTAATAAGGGTTTGTAATGCCTAGCATTTCTTTATGGAAGCATATCTAGATGTCAGTTTGCGTTTGCCAGCTTGTTTTTATGGGAGATCAATCACTGTTTAACTTGCCATAGAGCTTCACCTGTCCATCATCACAAGAAATGTCAGTGTTGCCAAGAAAGTTGTCATCAGCATGATAAAAAAACATTTAACATGATCAGTTTTGTCAGGAACTCTTATCAGTATGTCTAGGTGGCCTGACTGAAACAGCAGTGCTATCTGGAATGTTGATATTGTTAGGTCGATTGCGGTCTTGTCCACTCAGTTAAGAATGTTGTAACTCATTAGGAGCATTGTCAGGAATGTCGTCTGTGTTGTTACAGAAGTATTCAGAGAGACTGGCAAGAGCTTTGTCAGGAGCACTGTTAAAATTTTCAGGAATGCTAACAAGTGCACTGCCATCACCACCAGGAAAGCTGTTCTCAATCAGATATTTATGGGAAATCTGTAGGAATGAGCGCTATACTGTGAATGAAAAATAAAGCAGCTGTTTTTCAAGAAAAACCAGTCTCTTCACGTGTACATGTATTCACCCAAAAACAGAAAGCCTGAAGATAATTGTGTTTTGTGCCGTACAAAATGTCTGTGGGAAGTTGAGGAGAACCCCTAGTGGTAAATTTCAGGAATAACAGGATATGTTTTTTGTGACGTTATTGCCTGTAACAATAGCACTGTAGAGAGTATTTGCAATACCTTCTGTGCTTACTGCAAAGACACGTCCAGAGCGAGCGGTATTGGGAAGCATTTAATTATTGTGTAGTATGGATAGTATTTAATTAGTTTGTGTGTGTCTGTGTTTTTTGTAAAATATTTCTGTTATTGTTCTCTTCCATTTCATCAAGCCTTAGATGTATTTTTCTATATCTGACAGGGAATGGTGAGTGCACAACTAAGAAGAGCATTACTTGAGATAATGACATTACGCTCTGTACTTATTTATTTCATTTAAGGGCATGACCCAGCTGCTCTCTGATATCTTTAATTAAACAGAGTAAGATCTTTCGTTGAAAATAAACAAGCAAGACAGGCCAGTAATTTTCAGTTTCTCTCTCTTTTACCTGTACAAATGTGTTTATTTTACATTGAGCAGCTTTAGTGTCACACCACTGAACTGGCAATAGAAAGGTTTTGTCCCTGCACTGTTCTGAATGAAACTGGTGAGGCTCTCAAAAGGGGTTCAGCAGTGTCATGGTTTTGCAAACCACATACTTCTCAACCACCAACCCCCCCCCCCCCCCCCACCCCCCAACTCTGCCTCCTCAGCGTTTTCTCACTGTGCTGTTTCCTGTCAGTTCACCAAAGCGGAGCAGTGTGTGGTGCTGTTGGCCCCACGTTTCCTGGCCACAGCTTATCAGATTGATCCCTGTCAGTCAGCATAGCCCCCCTCTTGGGCATCATTCATAAAGTTATTATAATGAGTTTCTGCACGACATGGAAGCCTCTGGGGTTAATTATCATCAACAGTGTCATTTCCCCCACCTGTGTTACATTATATCTTGTCCCAAGAATCCATTTCATAGATATTTGTTCCTTCCACTGACAGTTCTCTCTCTGTGGGACAGAATGGTCCCAGTCAATCTTTTACACACAAGCATAATGAGGAGTAAGATTTTTCCAGTCAGCAGCTGTAACTTTCATTTCTCCTCTCTTTCACAGTGCAGTTTGAGGGCCTGGAGAAATCGCGAATGTCACCCACCATGGAAGGCAAGGTGCGCCCTCCCCAGCGCCACTCCAGTGGTTGCCTGGTCAACACCAAACTGGGCTCATTGGACCACTGCAGCCCCCCCTTGGGCGAGCGCATCGATCCCTCCATGCCCCTTGAGAGCCAGTTGTGAGTGAAGCATTTTCTGAACCAATCTGTCTCCTTGTATAGGATGACTGGTCTCAGCTCATTTAGCTCCCAAGCAGAAACAGGAGATTTGCCATAATGTTTTGCTGAGATTGTGACTCACTATACCGATGAACACACTCCGATGTTACACGTGGAGACCCAAGGATTTATTGCAGGAAGCAACTGTTTTTTTTCTTTTCCTTCACATTTTTTTGTTCCAGTGTAATCAGCTATTGAGTAACTATTGATTATACTTCATTCATACTATCTTTATGCTGTGAATAGGAATACGTTCATGTCCCTGATAAGCACTTCTATCACTCAATAGCCTATTGTGTAGCTGATTCTGCACAAGAGAGGTAACTCATTGGGGAGTGAATACATCTTTCAGTGTGAGCATTGAGTAACATCCTAAGAGGTGTTTACATTACAGTATCTTAAGAAAAAAAAGCCTGACTGACAAATGTATCACTGAGCCAAGCCTTTCACAGGCAGTGCCAGTTATGTCATTGTCATTGTATGTCATTGTAGAACAACACTTACAGTCAATGCGTGACACAGCTTAGCTGACAAACTAACACTGCCTTCTGCACTGTATTCTGCGCTCAGAATGAATGTCTCACTACCTAGATGCCTTTAACATTTCTGGCGTCTCCTTCTTATCACCTTTAAAGTATGTATCTGTCACTGCTGCTCTTCATTTTCTTTTTCCCATAACCTGCTCTTTCTGCTTTTCTTCCTTCCTCCCCTCTGGGCTGCGTGTCTCCACATCTCAGCTGGTACCATGGAGCCATCAGTCGAGTAGATGCCGAGTCACTGCTGCGACTGTGCAAGGAGGCCAGCTACCTGGTCAGGAACAGTGAGACCAGCAAGAATGACTTCTCTCTCTCCCTCAAGTAAGGCTGTCACAGATTCTTTTGTAATGTCATCCGTGACTCACCATTAACTCTTACAATAGAGCTTTCATTTTGCCCATAACAGATCTCAAAGTACGTCCGGTTCTCGCCTAAAACAAATCTCCTATTACTGACTACATACAGAGTCAAATAATGAACAGGATAAAGTCCCTCTGAGATCCCATTTCAAATATGAAAACAGCTATGACAGCCTAAACAAATTGTTTCAATTCAGGTGTATACTGAAGTTCTTTATCAACCAATGAGATAACTTGTATGGAGACTTGTATGGTATGAAGTTTGCTTTTGTTATGGAAGCAAGTGCCATTTGGAATTTTTATTGTGTACCATCCGTTACAGTGTTTATATAGCTTGCATTGGTTTGTTGGATGATATTCCCAACCTATATTTTTCAGCGGTATCTGTAAGATACATTGTAGGAATCATGGGAAAATGTGAGAAGGTTTTTGTCATCAGACATAATCTTACTAAGTAAAATCGCTGCTTCAGAGAGGAGCTAACTCATGGGTACAGAGACATTGTTTTCATTGCCCATTTGCATTGCTGTTAACTGGATAGAGAGTGTGGCACTGAAAACGTCCACTCCTCCTCTTTGCTGGACTGTCCCATAACATGTCAGAGGTATATTCAGGGTTGATTTAGATTAACAGCCAATGCTTTATTTATGGTTGGCTTCTTAAGGGAGTCACTTGATGGTTTGCAGTAGCCATTTGAGCTGAGCAGGGAGACAGCAGACCTTGTCCTAACTCTGTTCAGCACTCACATGGTGGTTCCTCCCACTGGACAAGCCCAGTCATCTACAAACTTACCTACAGTGTCCATACAGTGAGCTACAGAAAACTAGACAACCATGCCACTAATATCATATGAAATGTAAATGCTATTCAAAATAAAAAAAAATAGAATTGCAATAATGTAGACAATAAGTATTACATTAGCTGTAAAAAATCTACATTTCCTTATGGGAGATGATTTTATTACTTTGTTTCTACCCTTCTCTCCCCTTGGCTCAGAATTCCATCTGAGCCTTGGAGACCAGCCTTCATTTTCTGCCATTATTCCCTTTGTATAACTGTAACATGTTTGCAACAGTTTCTTCATTATCTCTTTATATTAATGTACAGACACTTTCCTTTCCAGATGTGGCATATTGGATCAGGAAGTGTAATGCTGGCCTTCGTAGCATCAATGGCCTCAATGTCCTGCATACTGCTGAAACTAGCACAAAAACAAGTAATGCGCAAAATGGGCAGCTTACTTCTAAGAACATTCTTCGAGCGCTACATCTGCATACTGCCTGCTAATAAGCCACCACTGCTTAGCTTGACAAAAGGTTGAAGGTCATGGAGGGCCTGTATACAGCACGTTTTTCTGGCTCTTCACATGTTCAACATGCTTAGCTTATTTTTTTTTTTTGGAAACCTTCATTCCAGAGGCCCATCAGGAAGATCTGCCTGGAATGCTAAAACACTAATGGTGTCTTTAAATCACATTTCTGCTCTGCATGCAAAATAAGCCTGCCAGTCGGCTCAGACTTTCAGCCCCGCTCTCCTCATGGGGAGAGATCTTTTATGTCCCACAGATAAACACCCTTTCTGGTCTTTAAACCTGTTTTAGCCTTTCATGAGCCCTTTTAAACCATTGCTGCTTCAGGGAGGGGCTTTCTCAGAGCTACGTGACTGAGGTAGAAAAGTATACGTTTGATGGAAGAACTGATTTCCGTTAAAATTTAGGCAACAAAAGTTCATTGAGATGGAGCTGTGGAAATGTGAATAGACTTTTTATATATGTGGAATTGGACTTCTCTGAGTCCACATTAAGACAGCAGTTAAATTTTATTGTGCTCATGTGTGTTTACTGTGTGAGATGTGCAGATGTGTTGTAGTGCTGATAGGAAAGGACATATTTAATAGGTTTTCTGTCAGATCGTGCTGCTAATATTTCTTCTTTATTATTAGTGCCTGTGTAGTGCTGATGATTGGTCAGAACACCTGAAAGAATACAAAGGTGCACTCACCCACTCTTGCATTCACATTCAACTTCTGACAGATATACAGTGACTTCTCTCTCTGTACGATTATTAAAATTACTTGGTCATTATTTTTTATAAATGAATGAATAGTAAAGCCTGTGCCTTTTAATGATCCATATGTTTACCGTAATAAACAAGGCAATTTGACGTACTCCATAAAGCCATAGAAAATATTTCTGCCACAGTAGATTTAATTTTATTATTTATTACCAGAAAACACTTGCTTTGAACATGATCAAATTGCAGATATTCTGTTTTAGTGGGTTTTGCAGCTGTTGTTCTGTTGGTGTCATTAAAACTGTGCTAGTATTATATAATTATATATAAGATAAGTGTTTTACAAACCATTACCTCCATTGCAAGTGTTTAGCAGCTCTGCCGTAGTCTGTTGGAGGATGGAGGGGAAAAAAGCACTTTATAAAAAAATTGTGAATCAAATCAAGGAAATTCATTTAAAATTTTAATTGTAATCCATAAATCAAAGAGTGTGAATTGTAATCCGTAAATCAAAGAGTGTGTTTTTTCTATCTCCTGTGCCAGGAAGACATCTTTGGAAAAAATGATCTGTTAGTCACAGAACACATCAGTAAGCACGGATAGGGGTCGAGCCAGCTGTCCCCTCACCTGAATACTAATGAGCTGTTGTGGTCTCTGATTGCATGCCTCTACTCCATATTACACCATATTACAACTTAAGCCCTCTGCATGCTTGCCTTGTTGTGAAGTTGCGTCTCATTTTTGAGTTACAGTCTCAGCGTGGGTGTTGGCATTGGATTTCTCTGATGTTTGACCTCTTGCTTTACTTCTTTTTTGACTTCAGATTGTCCAGCATATTCTGTTTGTCCCTGGTCTACTGCAGCCCTGAAATCAGATAATGGCTTTTGGAATTAATCTCTGCACCTGGATCCTAACCTACATGTG